GCCTTCAAGGAAGCCATCTGGTTAAGACGTCTTGTTACTGAAATATGTTTTCTTAAACAGGATGTTACTGTGTTTTCTGATAGCCAGTCTGCTATCCAGCTTTGCAAAACCCCTGTTTTTCATGATAGAACCAAACACATTGATGTGAGGTTCCACTTTATTCGTGATGTTTTAGATGCAGGTAAGGTGAAGCTGTGCAACATACCCTCAGAGTTCAACCCTGCAGATATGGGGACGAAGTGTCTATCTGCTGAAAAACTATTGTCTTGTAAATGAATTCTAAATTTGGACTGCGATTAACTCTGTTTGCAGGTTTTGGGTATGATGGAGGGTAGATTCTTGAAAGCATAGTGCATGAGAGAATCTGCTCTCATGGTTAGGGAGAGTACCTTGGGTACTTCTCCAATTTCCATTTGGGTGTATTTTGTGTATCTCCAATTTGTTTGCCAGTTATGTCTTTAGGATATCACTGGTGACCCAACGATGATGAACCACTTTCTCATGTTACTTTGTGATACCATGCACCACCAATGATGGCCAATAAGGTGGAGAGTGTGGAGGTATTGGCCCATAGGCCATGGCAGCCCTCTTTACTCTTGTAGGGCATGTTTGCTTGCCTCTTGTCGTGGCCCATGTTGTTCTGCCGCTAGCCTTGTTTCTGGAACCCTCCTTTAGGGTTTCCCCTGCAGCCCTGGTACTTAAGACCCTCTTCGTCTTCTCTTGACGCTGAGGTCTTCGGTTAGAGAGAGAGTGAGGTTAGAGAGAGTAGAGAAAGAGACTCCCTGTCTCTTCTCCTTCCAGTCCCTCTGTGGTCATCTCTCTCTGTGCTTCCCCTTTTCTAACCTTTGGCGTGCGTTGAGATGGCTGGGTTGGCCTGAGTGTGATTGTCCCTTCCGGTGGTACTTGGTTGTGTGTGCTGTATGAGCGTGGTCTGAGCTTGAGAGGTGAAAACCTGACAAACACTTTCCAAAAAAAGGGTTTAACCCAAACAACTATTTCCCAAAAGTATCATTTACTACCACCACCAAACTAATCCAATTGGGGTATTCTAAACCCATAATATATTTTAAATATAACAAATTATAATAGTCTCAAATCATACTTCAACTCATACCAAAACAATCACCAAAATATTCCAATCCCAAAAGAACAATCCTCAAAAATCACAATTTTAGCCATAGCAACTGATTTGATAAATTCACCAAAAATCACACGTTCATAAATTACCATAAAATCATACATCATCATATCTATACTATAATAACCCAAATATCCATAAAATTTTAAAAAGAAACTCAAATCATAGTACGGATCCTAATTAATACATAATAGGGGCAAAATAGTAGTTTTGGTCGCAATAGTCCTTACCTCGAGGCTAGCAACAAATCCTAAGCATCAAACCTAGATTTATGGGTCACTCACACGTCCATAGTAAGTGATAGGGTTGAAGGATCACAATTTAAGAGAAAGAAATCAAGAAAGTGGATAAACGATGTCAATTAGGCAACAAACGTATTTACCGGAAGATTGGATTATTTGATCACGTTCTTGGAGTCAAAAATCGTGTTATGTATGTTAATATTTAAGATCTGGAATACATAGATCTTGAAAAGGCGGTCCTATGGTTTTTGGAATGAGGAAAATCGGATTAGGGATGTGTTTATAGTGAATTTCCGAAGTTTGAGTCGCATTAGCATAAAACAGGGACGCACGCTGTGTCGTTGTGCGTACCTTCCACACATGCCGTGCATGGCTGGCAGTAGCTATCCCACTGGATTTTCTTGCCACGCACGCCGTGCGTAACCCCACGCACGCCGTGCGTGACCCCCAGATGCCCCAGGGCCTAGTTTTTGCCCCGTTTCTTCCTCGTTTGGACCTCCCCTTGATCCCAAACACTAAACCAAACATAATAAACTACAAGACCATCTAAACGATATGAAACACAATTTTAATTATTTCCCAAATTTTCTCAATTTTTTGGGGTATTACAGCAGGTGCCCCCACTCAACCCCCATCCAATATATATTACTACCTCCGTCCCACTAAGATTGGGACAAGAAAAGGTGGCACGATTATTAAGAAAAGTGGTTTTGTGTGGTTGATATAAAATTGATAAAGTAAAATGAAAGTAAGAATGAATTAGAGCCACACAAACTTTACCAAATTTGGTATGAGACAATCTTAGTGGGACTTCCCGAAAAGGTAAAATGGGACAATCATAACGGGACGGAGGGAGTATATATATATATCCAATTCACTATAATAGTAAAGGAAGAAAACATTCACACTATGCGTGAAGCGTTTAAGCTAATATCACTTCATAACTTTCTCAAATTCATTTTACTTTATATGATTTTGATAATCAATGTTACAAGATAGTTGAGTTATTAAACAAGAATTAGATAGACCCATTAGGCACAACCCATTAGATAGGAAACTATTAAACTCACCGGGACACCGTGCTATTTTAATTATTTCATATTAGCAATTACATATTTATAACTAAAATGAAGACCGTTTACAAAAATGTGACTAGTGACTAGAGTAATAATAAAATTATAGTAACTTATGTTCAATTTTTGAACTTAGGTTACTATGACACTACATTGTAGAAACTAATAGTCATATTTGTGTAAAATAAATTTTATTTTTGTAATATTTTTGTAAAAACCCGTTATTAGTATTATTATTATTGTGATTATTATTATTAATTATTAATATGTGTATATATACGGGGGATGGTGTGGGGGATGCATAACCCATCACCCGTCTCATATTTAAGAAGGGAGGAAATAATTCCCCCATCCCCATACCCACCCCACCCCACCACCCGCCCAACTCCCCCCACGGGGCAGTTCCCCACGGGCCCCCGCCCCCATTGCCATCCTTAATCATCTACATATAATAATAAATAGATGATAGAAGTATTATGGTGATAGATGAACTAGGAATTATCAGATTTACTGCAAGAAAAATGATTAAGAAGTAAAAAGCTACAAAAACGGTAAAACCACGCCCGCGGGGCTTGTTTCGGACCATAAATGGCCTTACGCAAGCGACAGATGTGTGTAGGGAATTGGGGATGAACAAACCCGCAAGGCTGACGCATACACACTTCCTCTAAAATGTGACCATGCAAAAATGCATTTTTAACAACAAGTTGACGAACCACCCAACCAAAAGAAATATCAAGTGTTAAAACAATTCGAACAGTAGTGGGTTTAATGACAGGGCTAAATGTTTCAGAGAAGTCTATACCTGGCTGCTGATTAAATCCTTGAGCTACTAATCGAGCCTTATGGCGCTCAACAGAACCATCTGAATGATACTTTGTTTTATAAATCCACTTAGGTCCAACCAGATTTTTAGAATTGTCAAAGGGCACAAGATCTCATGTGTGATTAGTGATGAGAGCATTAAATTCCTCTGCCATGGCTTCCCTCTATTTTAAATGTTTATTAGCCTTAGAAAAACATGTTGGGTTCGGTGAAGTAACGATTGTATTTAAGTTAAAAATGGACTTGGGTTTAAAAATGTCTGATTTACCCCAGGTTTGCATGGGATGGATGTTAGCTACCGGAAGGGGCTGGACGGGAGAAACAACTGGGGAAGTGTGCTCGACAGGACTAACCGAAGGGGTAGAAGCAACTGAGGATGCAGACTGACTGGCTGAAACTGACGGGGAGATGGACTCGGAGGACATAGATGGCGGACTACCTGGAGAGCTGGAGCTTTCCGACGAGAGAGGGTGGAGGGATGAGGTGTATGGGGTGGCGGGGATGGTGACCGAAGGGAGTGTAGTACCGGTGGTAAAGGGTTGATGGAGAAACTTTGGCTAAGGGGAAGGGTAGGAGGAAACTAATGGAGGAGACGGTAGGTTTATGTAGCAACTTAAAAGGATAAATATCCCCATGAAAACGAACATGACAACTAACATAAACACGACCACTAAGGGGTTCTAGACACTGATAACCTTTATATCCGGATGCGTAACCAATAAAGACACATTGAACAGACCTGGGAGAGAGTTTATTCGCAGAAGATGCAGCAAAGTTCGGGTAACAAGCAGTGCCAAAAATACGAAGTAAGGAAAAATATGATGTCTTGTGAAAAATTTTTTGATATGGAGAAATACCATGTAAAATGGGTGAAGGAAGTCTATTAATGATGTATGCATCAGTAAAGATAGCATCTACCCAAAATTCACTCGGAACAAAAGCCTCAACAAGCATGGTTCTAGTCAATTCCAAAAGGTGACGGTGTTTGCGCTCAGCAACCCCATTTTGCTGAGGTGTGTCAGGGCATGATTTTTGAAAATAAATTCCATGATCAGTAAAAAATTGCCACATAGCAAGATTACCAAATTCTCATCCACCATCACTTTGAAAAATTTTAATTTTCTGATTAAAAAGATTTTCAACCAGAATTTTAAAATTTTTAAAGTGATAAAAACTTCACTTTTCTTATGCATTGGATAAATCCACGTAAAATGAGAGAAATCATCAATAAAAGATACATAATATTTAAAACCCAAGTTAGACAAAACCGATGATTGCCACACATCCGAATGAATTAACTGTAAAGGTAGCCAACAATTATGACTAGCATCAGAAAATGGTAAACGGTGAGATTTGCCCACACTACTGGAAAAAATCACATTTGCTGCGGTTTCGAACCGCAGCAATTGAAGGGGCAGCAAATGTATGAAATTACATTTGCTGCGGTTCAAAACCGCAGCAAATCGATCAGTTCAATTTTTTTTTTATTTGTTGCGGGTAGCCCGGAACCGCAGCAAATAGTTGAAAATTTTTCAACTTATTTGCTGCGGGTATGCTAGAACCGCAGCAAATATGAATTTTAAATGTGAGAATTACACATAAATTTCCTTTAATACCAAAAAATGCACAACTAATATCATGCGGTTAGGCAATGACCGCAGCAAATACTATTATGAAATTTATGATTTACAACACCAAAGTAGTGTCCATTTTTTTTACATTTCCCAATAAACACTTAAACATATTTACAATTTTACACCATAACAAGACTTGTTTATAAAGAAAAAAAAACTGAACAATATATTTCATGAATCACCAACAATATCACTTATTATATATCACAAAAACATCATATACATCCGATACAACAACAAAATTAAATTTAATATACATTCTTAAAATATAAATTTCAACCGACTATCTGCATTGCAAAGTACATGGCGCTTGCAGCAACATACTTTCCCTGACCAAGCTCCACACATGTGTATCATGCCACCTCATTTGCTTCCTATTCCTGGAATCCTGGAGCTCCATCTCCTCAGTTAGTCCGTGAAGTGAGACCTCCATCTCTTCATCTGCTTCAACTTATTCAGCTTATATTTATACAAATATAATATTAAACACTCATAAAATTAAGAAAAATATTAAAATAAACTAACTGAATTTATAAAAAAGAGAAATATACCTCTAATAACTCTAATAAGTAAAGAGGGAGCGACCGGGTATTTTCAGCACTAGCAGACCTATAGAAAAATAGCAAAATATTAATGTATTAAAACCTTGCAAGTTTGAAAGGGTATAAATGACAAGGATTACATAGAAAAGTTCACTTCAAGGTATACGCTCTACCTGCTTTGACCTTGCCACAATCCTTGCACAACCTCATATACCGACCACTTTTCTCTTCACTACACACTATATGCATAACAAGGATTGAATAGAATAATTAGATAAACTAACAGTAGCCCTAAAAAATGAATATGCAGAAACCATATGGACAACTGGATGTACCTTGCTGATGGATAGTGTATCCGGGGGGTAGCTTATCCGAGGGGTTATTACGGGGAATAACAAGAGAGAAGTCAGAGCAAGTAAATATATAGAGAGAAAGTATATTGTAAAGTGTGGAGCGTTTTCAGCGTATTATGACTTGGTTACAAATGGGGAAATGGGGTGCTATTTATAGTAGCAATAAATGCCGGACAGGGACACGTGTCAAGCGCCCATTGGCAGAGAGGTCGCCTCATCTGGTTGGCGCTGGCAACCGCATGTGGCCGCATTTAATGCGGCTGTTGGATGGGACGTTGTGCAGGGTACGGTGATCTGTACGCATGTGGAGCGGATATTGTGTCGGAAGAGGCGCCCTCGGTAGTAGATGACTAGCCGAGGGCTCTGAGTACCGGGGACCCCCTTAGTGCCGAGGGCTCCAGTTGCCGAGGGCTATTGATTTTCGCCGTTTTTCCCCAGTAACTTTGTTTTCCTGTGTTGGCCCTCCTGTGATAGCTAGAGCCTTCGGCCAGGGGGCCGAAGGCATCCCTGGTGCGCATTGTGGGCTGCTTGGTACTCTGGGCGTTGTGATTTGGGTCTGTTGGGCCTTCTGGGCCTGTTGGGCCTTCTGGGCCTATTGGGCCTTGATTGGAGTAGTAGGAGTCTGTGGGCCGGGGGTTCCTGGGCCATATACTCCATCACTTGCCACAAAGCTGAGAGAAGAACTTTCTATTTTCCATGACTAATGGAATATTTTTCCAATTTTGGCCATATTTCCACCCCGTAAAAAACCACTAAACTTACAAAGTAGACATATGCGTTGTAAGCTTGAATTGCTGTGAAGTTGGCTGCTTCTAATGTCACTTTAACTATGTAAAAAGATTAGCAACTTAATTTGACCAAGAAAGGAGAGGATAAACCAGCGGTAGCGTGGCAAACAGCCAGGCGTCATCAGTCTTCAGCGAAAATGTCCAATTACACTGTTTGAAAATTAGTAACTTTAATTAGCAAATATGCAAGGAGAATATTCATGTGGAGAATTGATATCTTTTTTTCTTTTTATCTTTGTTATTTTTTTTATCTTTCTATCCTTCTTATCTTATACCTAGTATTTTTATCCTTTTTATTTTTATCTTATCTTTATTTTACTTTTTTATGTTTTTTATCTTATCGTATCTACCATCTTTATTATTATCTATTTATCTTTCTTATCATTTTTAGCTCCTACATTAGCTGACTTCAAACTCTTTTGGGACTAAGGCATAAAAGTTTGCTCTAAAACTATTTTTTCTGTATAAAACCATAAGCTATCTTTTATAACGTTGTAAATTGGGGGATTGGTTACTTTGAGCACATTAACTGAAATGGGAAGGAAGTTGACATGGAGTACTATCGGACTCAAGCATGAACATCAGAATAGGATACTACCTTCTGATGTTTGATATGAGATCCAATTCAATGCCATGATGCTTAATAAGTTCATGCATCAAAGAACCACCCCAACAACCAGCAGCAAGTATTTAGCTACAACTACGCTAAATGTTCCTGAATGTCTGAACTGCTTCAACCTCTCCATGATTGTGTGGTCTTATTGTTTTAACAATCAACACAGTAAAAAAACAATCAACACAGTAATTAACTTCTGATTAGCTGTCGTATTTGTAACCTTAATAAGGAAGTAGCAGGCTCTTGATAGAACTTTGCATATCAACCTTCTGAGGCAAATTGCTTATTCTGCTGCACATTAAATATCATCTAAATGGTTAATACAAATGAAATATTCCCTCCACTCCATAGAAAGTTTTATATTTCAATGGCTTTTTCCAAAAAATGGAAGTCCAGGTTTGTCAAACATGACACAATTTTGAGATGGGGAGTATCATGCTTTCAAATATTTGAAAATTGCTTCAGAGGTCAATAAGCTGGTTGTAATAGGAAAGAAGTGAATAAAACGCACCTTCTAAAAATATCCTATTACCCTAGCAGATTTGAAATCGAAGACCAAAACCGCAGATTTGAAATCCAAGAACAAAACCCTAGCTCTGGATGACTGATGCAAACTCGAAGGCCTCAAGAAACTGTGAGCAGCCGGCTGCAATAGAGTTATCGATGACGCACATATAATTGGCGGCGGCGGAGCTGGAGGCATGAGCCGGCAGGGTTGAGAGGCCAAGGAGGTCTGGACTGTTGGAAACCGCTCGAGGGAGGCGGGGATTTGGGCATTGATAAATGATACAGAGTAAGTGCGTAGAAAGAGAGAAAGATATAAAAGGAATAAGGTTTATTCGCTGCGGTTTTGCCAATGTTCGCAGCAAATAGCTGAAAAGTTCAAGGTATTTGCTGCGATTATTCCTTGCCCGTTGCAAAATAGTGTCACTACAATGACCTAGCCTACGATGCCACATGGGACCAGGAGCTGTCACAGACGCAAGAGCAAGAGGAGGGTGACACAGACTAATAGGATAAAGAGGCCCACTACTGGTAGCTTGTAGAAGCACCGCTCCCGAGGTTTTGTCCTTAACAAAAAATGAATTTTTATAAAAAAACAACAATACAATTGTTATCATCACACAGTTTTTAATAGAAATTAAATTATATTTTATCTGAGGCACATGATAAACATATCTGAGAGTAAGAGCACGGCCAGAAGAAGGTAAGGTAACATCACCAATATGACAAATAGGAAGTTGGGCAGCATTAGCAACACTAACAGAAGTAGCGCCAAAGTAAGTAGATTTATTCAACAAAATACCTTCAGAACTTGTCATGTGAGCAGACACACCTGAATCCGGGTACCACAAGGCCTGATTAGCATCTCCTGGAGGTGTCAGCAAAGCTGGTGCAGTAGGTTGATGGAAACGTGAGGGACATGAAATAGCAAAGTGGCTTGCAGAGACACATATTTGACAAACTATAAGTGATGGGACAGACCCCAGAATACCCCCATCTGAAGAGAAGCCTGCATATCCAACATTAGTAACAACACCAGCACGAGACGCATTAATATTTAAATGTGACACAGCTGAATTACCTAATACTGTACCTGAAGAAACTGGAAGAAAACCACGCCTTCATGCGTGCTCGGGCCCAAAGGAGGAGCTGGCTGATAAGGCGATTGCTGGGGAACATATGGTTGGGCTCCATAGCGCTGCTGGCCGTACTGCTGCTGGTGCGGCTACCTTCCACGGCCATGACCCCCACGACCTCGACCACCACGACCACGACCCCCTCTCCCTCGGGGCGCATAAACTGGAGGACACGGAGCATTCTGACCAGTAACACTCGCTCCAAATGCCTGGTGAGTGCTAAAAGAGTCATGTTGCTTAAGTTATAATACCCGTTGTTCTTGTTCAAGTAGGTGTGTTCGAAGTTTCTCAAAGGGGAATTCGTGGGGAAATAGGGAGACAGTAGTAGTAAGAGATTCATAGTCAGGCCCTAACCCCCTAATAATAGACTCAAGTAAATCCCGTTGAGACACTGAACAATTAATCATTGCAAGAGCTTCTGTCAATTTTTTAACATCCCTCAAATAATGGTCCATAAACTGATCAGGTTTCTTTTTAAGTTGAGTTAACATCTGTTTTATTAATTCCATAGAGCGGGCTAAACTAGCCGACATAAAACGGGATTCTAAACGATCCCAAATTCCAACAGAATGTCTAACATCACGAACATCAACTAAAACATCCCGAGATAATGTAGCAAAAAGCCAAGCATGAATAGTTTGATCAATGCGTAACCAGAACGAATATTCAAGATTCGAGATTTGTCTATTTTGCATGTCTATGGAATAAATTGGGGGTACCTGAATGGAACCATCAATCATGCCGAGAAGTCCTTGAGACACTAGAAACGACTCAAATTGAGTTCACCAAGTAATATAATCTTCTACTGCTTGAAGCTTTGTAGTCACAATATGAGTGACGTTGGCAGAAACGTGAGAAATACTTTGTGCCAAGGCTGCCATGGGAGAAAAATCTGCTGCATTAGACTGTTCGGCTTGAGAAGGCAATGCGGACGAAGAAGCGCCTGGTGACCCCGCAAAGGTGGGTCCGAAATAAGGCCCACTAACCAGACGTGGTGGCTCATGTGTGAAGGAAGGCGGCGGGGCCCAGTGTAAAGGCAGGAGCCGACGTGGGCGGCATCCAAGAAAATTGGGGCGGGCGATTGTCAAACAGCGAAAAAGGAGCTAAAGTCGCCATAGGTGCCTGGAACGACGTGATGAAGGAGGAAGAGATGCCCGTTCATGAAGGCTGATGATGGTTGCGTCACCTGAGGTGCGGTGTCGCCACTAGGAAATGCCAGTGCTGCAAGAGGGGATAGAGGGTGCGGTTGAGGCGGTGCGGTTGAGGCGGTGTTGGAGCCGGAGAAGAGGGCTGATGTGCGGAAGATGTGGCTGAGGGTGCTGCGGCCGAAGACATGGTTGCGCAGAAGGAGAGAGGACCGAAAAAATAGGTTTTTCTCTAAGCTCGTGATACCATGTGAAATAATGAAACATGTCGTCCATTTAGGGTTCCTGCCAGGTCTATTTATAATAAACGGTTATAGTGTAAAAATACATAAATATCCCTAGACTATTAGGATCTATCTATCAACATTTCAATAAAATAAAAATTCTCACTCATCCATGGATAGTGATACCTGCAATATCTCATTTTAAAATATCTCCATGCAAATTTGTAACATATAAAATGCTATATTTAAGATTAGGTATTACATAAGTAAAAAGAGTTTTTGTCAATTTTAGTTCTCCGTCTATTATCTTATGACACTTTAATACTTGATTTTAAAAATTTGAACTTTCAGACTGAAAGTTTCAGTGATAATATTTTGATAATGATGCTTTTGAATTTCATCTTTGAAATGTTTTATGTTTGGTGTTTTCACTTTTATAAACTGAGACTTTAAGCCATTTACCTATTTTTTCGTAATAAGGCTGCTACAAAAAATGTTAATGTATATGATAAGAGGTAAATGATTTAAAATAACACTATTACAATAGTCAGAGAATGAATACGAAAGAGTTCAAAATGGAAGATCAAAATGCCTCTCTCACAATACTTGAAAGACTAAGAGTGATAAATCAAAATTACGGAGTACATATTAAAAGGGTGAAAGACATAATAAGCAAACTACTAATAAAATCATGAGTTAGCACGTGAATAGCAAAATGCCAAAATGACGAGGAACACCGAATCAAATCTGGCAATGAGACAAAGAATCCTCTACTATAGCAAATTCCCGAGCAACGCGATTCGCGGATCAACTAACATGAGACAATCTAATGCTATTAAAGCGAGCTATAAATTCTCTAAGATCACTCGCTTTCAAACCAAATGATGTGGGCTATCCCCATGCATAATTTTAGAAAAAGCTTGATGCGCATCCATTTCAATTACACGACATTCCAACCTTCGAAGTAAATCCTAGATATCGCATCCCTTGTGCCTAGTAGCTCCCATTCTCTAGCTGAGCAGCGACCATACCACGACCTGGCCACTCCCGCCTAATGGTGGACTAGGACGGGACGGCCAACTTGGAATTGGCCCGACCCGGTACTGTGCTGACCCGGTCTGGCTCGGTCAATCAGGACCGGAATTAGGTCCGGTGACCCGACTCAGGAGAAAAGTAGGCGGGCTACGAGCTGTTTTTTGGTGATCGGCCTAATCAGTCTGGATCCAATTATTATTTTTCTTTACTTTTTTCTCATTGGTCTTGGCTGCTAGGTAGGTGGGACTGGGCGGTTGGGGGTTGGGGTGCGGGGGTGGGAGGTTGAAATTATACACTCCGTTTTTTCAAAATTATCTCATTTGTGCATTGTAGTATATTCTCTAAATTATCCAAAAACGGAACTAATAGTGTTGGTATGATTGTAAATCATTTCTAATACCCCGTATTATTTTATTTTATTATTTCAATAGTAAACAACAAATTCACTTCTTATAATAATCTCACCGCGTTATTTAACTTTTTTGTACTACCTCCTTCCCGCAAAAAAGTTCTCACTTTTCTTTTATTGATGTCCCAAAAATAAGTTCTCATTGATATAAAAGGAAATCACTCCTAAACAAAAAAGTCACAATTACCCTTACTTTTTACCCACTTTTTGTTTGATTTGACATAAAGTAAAGATATACTTGGAAAGTCAAAACAAAACTCTACCTTACATAAATATGTGTGTAAGTCAAACTAAGAACTTCTTTGCAGGACAGAGGGAGTATAAAAGATCGAAAGACAAAGGTAAGCCGTGATACTCCGTACAAAATTACAAATGAGACCAGAATTAACTTACTCCCTCCGTCCCGAATTGAATTGAATTGCAAACTTTGACCGACACAAAGATTAAAGAATTACAATATATGATGCTTGCTTTTTACACTTTTGCGCATGTTTTTAAAAGTAGATGCCTTTAAGGGTAAACTTGTCACTTTATTCTTATTTACATAGCTTAAATAGAAAGTGGAAAATCATATTACACAACCAAAATAGGAAATTTTGCAAATAAAATTGGAATGGATGATATAAAACTCCATAAAGAAAATATGGTTCTACCAATCAGTCATTAAAGCAATGGAAGCATAAGAAGTCAAAAGGTACGTACAACTAAAAGCAAATCCAGCAGTATACGGCTGACGCCACATTCCCGCAGAAGAATGACTTTCCATTTAATACGGAGTTTTTTTTAAGTAATACGGAGTATTTTCAATAAACAAACAAATGAATAAATTTTACTTCACAGGTAAATAAAATTACTATGGTAAAAAATGATTGTCACCGTTGGATCTTCTTTTTCCTGAAAACCACTTCTGTATCCAACCCGAACCCGTCTATGGTTCGGGTGTGAACCAACTCGGATTGCTTGAACAGTTTCTTCATCGGGTCAACGCTGTACAAATCGTTGGCCGAGTATTTATCGGCCCGCCGCGAAACCGACAAGTGCAACACGCATACGCCGCCGGGCTTCAGCGTCCGCTCGATCTCACCGACGAATTTCTCCGGGTAGAGGGCGTGGTCGAAGACGTTTGAGAATTCAAAGTCGAACGTCCCGGCGTCGAACGGCTGCTGGTGGAAGTCGCCGCGGACAACTAGCGGCGGTGACGGGACGAGATCAATGCCGATAGAGTCGGAAACTCCGACCCGTCTCAGAGCCTCCACCTCCTGGCCCGTCCGGGCACCGATGCAGAGTGCCTTGGATGAATTGGAGAGGAAACCCTCCCCTTTAAGATCTCGGAAAAACGCGCCGAAAACTTCGATCTTCCTCTCCCAATCTCGAGTCGTCCATATCTTCCGGAGCTTCGGGTTGAGGGTCTTGTTGAGCTGACGCTGGATGTACTTATCATAGGATGAGTATCCTGGCCGGATCCGGAGACCCGGAATCTCGTCGCTGGATCTAGGCCGGCGATCGGCAGGGGAGAATATGAGGGAAGAGAAGGAGGTCCGGCGGGAGAAAATGAGGAGAATAAAAGGTGCTGAAAGGAGGAGAATGAGAAAGAAATATCTGGGTCTGAAATTGCTTTCCTTCATTTTGCGAATTGCGTTATGAATAGAGACTGTATATATACTCTGTATATCATATGAAGAGATTCTGGTTATGAGAAAACGCGTCTGGTCTTGCTCTGTTGTGATGATTACACAGAAATAAAACCCTTCTCTGTCAAGCTTGCGAAATCAATACTGAGATGAGATGAATAAATTCATACGAATAAAGGAAAGAATAAGGGTCGGCAGTTTGAGACAGTTCGAATGAATATTTAGAGAGAGAAGATGGTGGGGAGTTGTTTCTTGAGAGAAGAAGAAAAGTGCCAGAGGGGCACGGGAATACAAACGTCAATGGTGACGGTGAATGGCTTATTTGTTGGGTAGTGCAGGAGAATTCGTAACGGCGAAGTCGAGTGCAAATTTCCTTCCCGTCACCAAGCTATACAAGAAAAAGATGACAAATTATTGACACCCCAATTCGTGAGGAGCCTTAACGCCGTACCAAATTTCCTTTCCTTCCAATTTTATCAATACCGGCACGAGAATTAATAAAATAAAATTTGTGTGATTGAGATTGGAACCACAAATTCTTTATTTAAATATGAAAGTGGCAAAGTAAGTGGGACATCCAAAAAAAGAAAGTTGATAAAATTTTAAAGGACATATGTAGTATAAACAGTTGATCGATAACGAGTGAAGTTTTGGTTCAAATATATGAAGAGGTCTCATGCATTTTTTACATAATAACTTCTCCCTGTGGTTGGTAGAAATTGAATTCGAAACTTACGTCTTGTGACACCTCCTATCTACAGGTTAAACTACGTCCACCAAGCTATATCAAAACAATTGTCCATATCGATCTCTTCACCAAGTTATATCAAAATTTTATGGAAAAATTGTCATATACAACATACGTCCTTTTAACTAGTTGTTTACTTGTAGGCTAAAGGGTCAAATAGGCCCATGTACTCATATCAATAGCTCAATTGGGTACCCGAACTAAAAAAAGGTCCAATCCAATCCTCCAACTCTTCAAAATCGTTCAATTTTTTCGTTTAGCCGGTAAACTCCCGGTACTCAATTGAGCTATTGATATGAGTACAGGGACCTATTTGACCCTTTAGCCTTTGAAAAAACGAAAAAATTGAACGATTTTGAAGAGTTGGAGGATTGGATTGGACCTTTTTTTAGTTCGTGTACCCAATTGAGCTATTGATATGAGTACATGGACCTATTTGACCCTTTAGCCTTTACTTGTACAAAAGCTTAAGTAAACGTTCTTAAGGTTGGGGGTTCAATTGAGTATTTTTATGTACCGAAATAGGAAGAACTATCAAATAAGTCCTCGAACGTACAAATAAGCTCTTTTACAGGAGGCTTTGTCCGACTGTTGCCATTTGAGGCAGTTTCCGGTAGAATTTTTTGATGATTTTTTAGCATATTCTTCATTCAGTCTAGTTTACCAATACCAAATTTCAACTAAAAATTCAATCGAGAAGGCAATCAAATGATTTTCTGAAATATACTGCGCTGCCTAACTGCGCAGTTATCTTCAAAAATTCATTCAACGGCCTTCCTGATTGAAATTTTAGCTGAAATTTGGTATGAGTAAACTAGACTTAATTAAGAAGATACTCAAAAAGTTTCATAAAAAATTCCCATCGGTAATCGCCTCAAATGGCGATGGACGGACATAGCTTTCTATAAAAAGACTTATTTGCACTTTTTATGAAAGTTCGAGGTTACTTCTCTCTACCGAAATATAATCGACTTTTCATATACTCCGTAATCGCATATATAACCATTTCCCAATTTCATCCCCTCCATATATATAACCTGGACCCTGAGCTAGCGGGACGATATATCATTGTTGTGGTGGCAACCTTTTCTGGTGGGAAGCACCCGGATAAATTCATGGGAGAGCTCAAGGATTTTCTCGCCTCCCATATAGGGGTGGACAAGAATACCGGAAAATCGGTATACCGCACTTACCGTACCGAAAAATACCAGAAAATACCGGAATATTGGTATACCGTCATTTTTGGTACGGTATGATACCGTATCGATATATTTCGATATGGTAACGGTAAATGTTTTCAAATATCACGGTATACCGGTATAATACCGTACCGACTCCCACCCAACGATTACTATAAATTCTAAAATATTGTAAAAATCCATTACAAGTTTGAAGCCCAAAATTAATATTAATACTTATGATGGTTACAAATACTAAAATACAAAAATAAAGTCCTGATTTCCCAAACGCACTATAACCTTCGAGGCTTCTACTACGTAACATTCAAACAAACAAACCCTAATGACCAATGAGTAATGTACTAATATCTGGATCAGTCCATCTTGTTCCATAAGCTTGCGAGTCGCGATGGCTGAGTCGGTAAGTAGCTGACGAGTGAAGAGGGATACACTTATGTGACGAGTGTATCGACATAGAGATTCCGCAAGTCGAGGCACATAAGTTTGTCCGAAAGTCTTATTCAAATATTTTATTTAAAATTATAAAAAAGACTAAACACACAATATCATATTATGGACAAATGATTTTATATTCATGTTGTTTGAATAATTTTATTTATTTTTGTTAGTGATCACTATTCATTTAATTATATCTATATTGCTCAAGTTATTTAAATATGTTGAACTGCTTAAATATACTAATAATAATAATTGTTCAATATTGAATATGACATCAATAGATTATTAATTGTATTTTGTAACATTGTAATAATGGATTAAATATGTCTTTAGTACTGCGAGTTACTATATTTTGTTAGTCTATGATAATTTTTTGAATTGGGGGACATGCATAGTAATTTACCGATACCGTACCGTTACCGAACCGAAACTTCGGGATACCGAAATGCGGTATACCGAAACTTTGGTAAGGTAACGGTATATAAATTTTGTATACCGAAAGTTTCGGTACGGTAAAGGTATGAGAGAAAATATTCGGTATACCGTACCGAACCACCCCTACTCCCATAAGCTAGTGTATGACTCGGCAACATGCTCCATTATTTGGACTGACTTTGGACGGTTTTATGAGGCTGAGAATACATTCATAGTAAAAACTGGAGACTTTTCCAATTACTATAAAGGTCTCAGAGCCTCAAAGAAATTCGTCGCAAATGAGACTGACCATACACTTCAAAATACTAGAAAACTTGCTAGGTCAGCAATGGGGTTGCCACAACTGCCTGAGGACAGGGAGGAGGCTGATGATAGTAAGCCAAAGGGGAAGGTTGATGGGAAGGAGACTGACAATGAGGAGGACCATGAGAAGCTGAGAAAGGAGGCTGAAATGAATAGAGAGAAGGGTGATAGGAAGACAGGGTTAGGACAACCTAAGGACTCTTCAGGAAAATCCACTGGTGGCGAGGAGATTCAGCAGTCTAAGTCAAAGGGAGTTCCTTCGGGTGGGTCAGGAGGTGATAAAGGTGGTGATAAAGATGATGATAGTGGTGATCAAGGAAAGGGAAGGCCCAGGAATAGGTCTAAGAAGGCGGGTAAGAAGGGTAGCACCAAGAAAGGGAAAGAGGATGAGGAGGAATCAGACAAGGAAGATTATAAGTTTTCTTACCTTTATAAGAAACCTAATAGGCCTAAGGTTCCCAAGAAGTCAAAGAAGAAATCTAGGAAGGGAAGGAGGAGTAGTAGTGAGAGCAGCCCTAGCAGTAGCAGCTCAAGCAGTGATACTGATAGTTCTGATGATGAGGTGTACGTAGGACGCAAGTATGTTGACCCAAGGAAACCTGCTCCTGCACCTGCCTTTGCACCTTCAGGTGTTCCACCAGAGCTTAAGCAGTTATGGGAACTTGCTATACCGGCAAAACTCCACATCAACACTTCTAGACTGACTCTGAAGAAATACAAAGTGACAATTGGTAGCTTAAGAACCTTCTTGAAGGATAATGAGCTTGATGAGATGAGTCTCAGGGATGTCGCATTTGGTACAATCATGGTAACTCTGCTGGAGACCAAGATCATTCCTCCTAACAATGACTCTGCCACTGCTGAGGATGCTACTCCCGTACCACCAGGTTCATTTGCAAAGACAGAGGAGATCACAAGGTGGAAGAAGGGAGCTAAGCTGATGGCCATTACAACAATCTTTGTGTTATCTTCTGGAGCACAAAATGATAATATTAAGTGATATGAATCTTATCGGAATGTGTTTGGAGATTTTCTGAGTGAAAAGAGGTTTGGTGACATCTGCAACTTGATCATCCATTCTGCTTCAATGGATTATCTGTTTGAGTTGTATACTCTTGGTGATATTGAAGCTACCAACAATGTTCTGAAATACAGGGTTACTAGGCTGTCATCTGCAGGACTTGTGAAAAGGGCATTGAAGACTGTGATACGGACCCCACTACTTGGGTATCTCAATGCTCATGCTATTGCCAAGTATAGAACCTTTGATGAAGCTGGCCTGGCTGCCCAAATTGCTGCTGGTCCCCTCAAGGCATATTGCAAGGGGAATATCAATCCAATGGAGTACAAGGATATCCCAAGGAACACCCCACTCAGATCACTTGCCCCCATTGACAATGCTCCATACGATGAAGAGCTCTTAAGGAAAGTTAAGATCATCTTGGAGGTTTATGAGATCCCGCATGGACACTGGTACCAGGGGATCAGGGCTTCTCTTACTGGGGATGATAGTGATTTGCACTTCAAGCTTACAGCCCAGCAGCTTAGACATGTCCAAAAGCAGTCAATTGGTGCTGTTATTGAGAAAGCAGCACAGAAATTTGCTCATACAAGGAGGGACTCTCCCCAGGCTCAAGCTGATGTTGTGGCTGTTGCAGAAGATTGGGTTTGAGATGGAGTATTTGAAAGAAGAGAGTGAACAAGTGGTTTCCTTTGGGTGCTGGGGAACCCAATTCTGCTTATGTGGTATTTCCTTTAGAGTCCTTGTTATTTCCTTTCGTTCGCACAATAAATGAGGGTGATTATCTAGGTCTTGGTCATCTAGATAATCACCTTCAAGTAGTAATGCTAGTTCCTATCTATATATAGGATAGCTATTAAGTATCTTCTAATGTTATTAAAATAACTATCTTTGAATAAAAAAATGTTATTGAGAAAAGAACGTTTCATCCATATGTCATCTCTCTATAATTCAAAGAAAGAACTCAAAGAAGTATTCATCCATATTGCTACTTTATGTTTAGCTTGCAAATTTAGGATTGGCGTATAAAACATTCTCAATTGTGTAACGCGTTGCACCAAAAGGTGAAAATACAAACATTCTCAATTGGGTATACCAATTCGAGTTGTGCCAGGGAACAGAGATAGAATAGTACTTGATTACATAATCAAACGTCCTGCAATTGAGTGATTGGTTCCCCTTGCTAACTCAAACATTTTAAAAATTCACCATGAATAGCTTGTTCACAGACAAAACATGTCTAACATCTATTCACACACAAAACATGTCTAGACATATTAGACATGTTTTGTCTGTGAACATGCTATTCACATACAAAAATAGCCTATTCATAGACATGTGTACTGATGTGCATAAAAAATGTGTACAAATAGTTTTTTTTCTTAAAGAATATCTACACATCTAAGAAGATTTTGTTTGAAATTTCCACTGATTCTTTACTCCTTCCTTGACAATTGGTTTACCAAATGAAGTATTGAGGTAGTTGAAACTACAATGTCATAACTCATAGGTCATTGTAGTTAAAGGTAAATAACTATGAGGCTCCCATCATATTCTGTTTTAAAAGGATCTATAACCAAATCAATTCCGAAGTACATCCACACGATTAATCTTATTCTCTGCTATGTTTTCAAAGTAATCTACCCAAATATCTTAAACATGATCTAGCTACATCCATACTTCTGGAATCTATGAGCCTATAAAGAATGCAAAAAATACTCCCTCCGTCCCGAAATTAACTTTCCACTTTCCTTTTCGGGCAGTCCCGAAATTAACCTCTCACTTCTTCCCACTTCCTTATTTGGCAAATTATCTACATCAAAACAGTGCAAGAGAGTGCCAAATAGTGCTAAACAGTGTCGAAACAGTGTTAAAACAGTAAAATTTACCCCCCAGTAAATTTATTTCCTTAATATGTGTGGAAATGAAGTGTGAAGTTGTTTACGGGATGGAGGGAGTATATAATATCATTCTATGCACTATGATTCCATGTGCAAGTTTATTAGTTGCATTTCACATAATGGCAAACCTTCTGCTGAAGAAGCTAGGCACATGTTCGATTGCATTTTATAGCTTTGTGTATCAAAGATTAAATAATTTTAAGGGTCGAACCCTCTATATCTCTTTACATAGCTAATTCCATGATGAAGTGTTATAGGGTCCGTTATATTATAATAAAAGCGATGTTCTTGTGCAATTTTTTACTGCACTTTTGATAGTATTAGATGTCCGGTTTTCCTTTGCTCTTTTGATCATATACCATACACTATTGCACTTAGGAAGTGCACCTCTTACCATGATGAGAAGTCTTGATTTACTTACAAAATCGTCACTACATTTTAAAATCAATTTAATGCATTTTGACACGCATATATTTTTAGAGCACAAATCCAATGCAACAGATTTATTATATTTTTCATGAGAATGACACTCTTTATTTCATTATTTGAACTAAAGTCAGTTGTTATAATTCCTTTTGTTAAGTTGTTATAATTCCAAGTGTTAATATAAGCCAAACATAAAAGGAATCAGCTCGTTTACTTAAGCTTTTGTACAAGTAAACAACTCGTTAAAAGGACGTATATATGTAGCATATGACATAAATCGAGTAAGCCATAGTTCCAAATTTGGAATTAATATTCACATCCCCCACCCCGCCTAATTGTTCAATTAAAACATGAACAGGCTGGTTTGGAACCATTGTCCACCCTCTATTGAAAATTGAAATATCAAACAGAAAATTAATTAAACAAGAGTAATTTGTTATTCTGTATGAAAGAAATACAAGAAATCGCAAAAACGAGCATATTTTGTTACCAAATATACGAAATGACGATCATATACACTTGGTTTACATCATTTGTGAAACAAGTTAGAAGGAGCAGGGATCACAAAACAAATGTTAGCATTCGTTCTCAAAGTTTTTCAAGCTACTAGTACCCTTTCAAGCTACAAACAGTATGGCTACCACCACACAGGAGGAATTCCAACATCTCTTCCTGCCTGGCTCCATATATCTTATATGCAGGGAGCAAGTCAAAGCATGTGGAGGCGTGTAGGTGAATAATGAAGTCTGAGTCTTTCAGTATTTACGGGGGTTAGTAATCTTCGCCCGCCTTTGTATTCTTAAAAAATGCTTGAGTTTATAGCATGTAAGTGAACAGTAATTATATTATATATCTTCTCATTCCGACCCTAAATCACGATGTTTACCAGCTGAGTTGACTGGGCTATGCTCATGCTGAAAAGGGTTCTCTGCACAGTGAACAGAACTTAACCTGGGAGAGAAATTCCATCCACTATCTTCTGTATCATGATGAACAGTTCTCATACTTGCCTCATCTTTCAGCTTCTGGAAAAACGGTGATGCCCAGTAGTCCCTTGCTAAAGTCTTTGAATGAGAGCAATGGAGGATCAGGTAAAGAAGAGACCGCAGGGGAGCAAAAGAGAAAGAAAGGTTTCAAGGTAAATGCATTATAATAGCTAGAGGTTTCAAGAATATACATAGTATCCAAGTTGAGGTAGGTAGGAGCTTTACCAGTTTCATCAAATGCATAAGTTCACCAAGAGCGCTGTGAAAGAGTTGTGGATGAGCTAGATCGGTAGTAGTCAAAATTCCCTGCCGGCAATGGTGTGATATATTCACCTCCAGTGGTGCACCTAACAGTGTGTTGTAAATGCAAATGCAGTTGAGAAAATTCTAATGAACTGTAATGACTAGAACATCCACAAAAAAGAGAACCCTATAATGCGATTTTACTTCAATGAGCAGTGTTTCCCTGAAACGTTCTGGGGTCATTTTTAAAGTATCCCAGACACTTGAGGATGTTTTAGTGGTTTCTGAAACTTGGAACATTTAAGGTAAAAATGAACTACTGATCTAATTACTAGGATAACATACCACTTTATGAAATGCTATACCCTGTATAATTATAGTTTGTAAGCTTATCAACCCACCGAAAATAAGAGATAGGAGCTTTCTTTTCTGTCCGTTTGATCATAAATCTAAGGCTCAAATTCGAAGCCCATAAAGGTGCAAATTGATTAGATATTCTATATTTTTAATCCCTAAACTCTAATATGTGTTTGTCCTGGTTTTTCTTTATCCATTGTTTCTTCTTTCCATCTTCACTCTTCAGGCATTTCAAATTTGAGCCTTAGATTTTATGATCGAATGGCTGGAAAAAGGAAGCTCCTATCTCTTATTGCAGGTGGATGTTTATGTTGGTATCCTATACACACAGACTCATTGAAAATCCAGTTTCCATTTCCAGTATCTGTGCATCACACAATGTGTATGACAAGTGAATCACAAACAACACAAGGTTCCATGAGATTATAGTATTTATTAAAGCTGAATAATTTAATTCCTAGGTAAATGATTTATCAGATTTTCATCCTACCTGCAACGATGTACTTCTCGATAATGTGTCGTGCCATATATATTCTCCCAACAGTATCATCGATAGGTATTTTATCGAACTGTTGAAGTTCTTCATAAAAGTGGACACTCTCCCCAGCTAAACAACTACAAGAAGAAAAAACAAGTATATCATAACCGAATAGACATTGTTTTATTTGATGATTATATCCACCTTAACGCAATAAGCTATGAATAGGGGCATATTGCAAGGTTTTACAAAAATAATACTACGTATACCATTGTACTTTTCCCATCAATTATGATCTACCAGATGAGACCTAAAACTTATATCTTCCCTTTAAGTATTTGAGAAACATAAAGCCAAAACAGGGTACCTGTCTGCAAATTCCGTGAAGGATTCACGAAATCTTTTGTTTAGCAAAAGCTTATCCAAAGGTTCGTTTGAGTTGAAATCCCATGATAACTCCCTTTGATATAGAAGCCCGCTATCCACTACTCCCAGTGCCTGACCCATTGTCTGGTACTCCCTTTCGTCCTTCTTTGCCAAGCTCATAAGCGAGACAAGTGGTTGAGAAATAGAAAAGGTGAAAAACAACAGCACCAGCACACTAGCCTGTGGAGTTGCAAACACACCGGAAACTTTATAAGAAAACCAACCACAAATGTCACTCCACTTTGTGCCAATTAAAATTATAGATATTATGGAAACCTTACCATAACCATTATGACAAATCTGGAAGCAACTTGTAGCCAAGCTATTTCCTCATAAATCTCATTCAGAATGTAGGAAACTACCCAAATACCTAACATAAAAAGTAGTGTAAATGATTATTCAAATATCTCCACATACAAAAGCATATCATAATACTATTTCGCAAACTCCAAATGAGTCATTATTGATTGCATTGGTGTAACATAATTTTTACCAGCACTAGCATAGAGCATGCAGTTTTGTTGAAGATAAGATGCATAGGTACTGATAAGAGAGAAATGTTAGCAGAAATGTACCAAGGGAAGCAGTGGAAACAAGTATTCCTCTCCAGAGGGCCTTTAGCTCTTCGAATCTAAACTTGATGTGTCGAACAGCTCCTGTAAAACCAATCACAGTGGCAACATATAACGCATGAAGGGAAATAACTGGAATGATCCATTGAATCCGCATGTGGCAATGATTGTTCAAAGGCTTTTCTTTGTGAAGAACTGCAGAGAAAAAATGGTGATTTTAAAAGCAAGACACGGTTGTTCCTTGACATGAGCAAGTCATTAAAAAGATGTTACTTGAAGTATATAAACAAGTGAAATTAAAAATAGGCAGGTGAAGGCACATCTCTTCTTTTTCAAAAGAGGGAAATAGTAAAAGCAACATTTTACAAAAGCTTGTAAAACTAAATACATTGGTTAGTGGATGAAGGCATTGAAGTGCTATCTTGCTTATCATAAAATTAGAGTTAAGACTACAATTCCTAGTTTTAAGGGTGTTAGAGCATGTAAGTTTTGAACTTTTAACATGTCTAAATGCAGGGATGAGGGAAGCCAGGAAGGGAAGAAATGGAAAACACAGCACAAGTGCACTTTGCTAAGCACAATGCGCATTATTTACCAAATGGTTGAAAGACCTCAAAGAACATATAGTAGCAGCAATACAGTAAATGATTTATTACTCGCAGGGAAGATTTCAGGTGCAGAAGTGTTTGTGTTGAAAGAGAAATATATTTTGTTATATTCCATCAAATCACATATGAGCCAAGGTCAGCTAGAGAATCAAATTGGAGATTCTTACAATAACCACAAGCAATCCATGGGATGAGAATCATTGGGAGGAATATATAAGATCTAATAGGTGGCAGGCGTCTCCTGTCATTGTAAGAATAGTAAGGAATAAACATTGATGTCAAGTAATAATATAACCTGGACCTTGGAAAACTCCAAGTAAAACGCCTCAATTATGAGGACTCGGCCACCCCCTTTTGCCTAGTTTTATTACTAAGGAACTATAAGTTTCAGATCATTGTACTTCAAAGTGCTAAACCATGAACTAAAGTTCCATATTTTTTATTTTTGTTATTAAACTTTAGAGCACATGAGAGGTTGACTGGTCCAGCCAGTTAGTGTATACATGAAAGTAATAATTTGTAAATAGAAAAGTTCAAGAAGCAAACTTACTTCACAAACACAAAATATAGGTGAAATGCCTGTGCAATGCGGCAGCACAACAGCAAACCAAAACCAAGCGGTCCCTCTACCCAGACTGGAATGCAATATAACAAGTCAATCCTTTTTTCGAAATAAGTAAACTGAAAAGCAGCAAAATAGCATTAGGCAAGAATGTCAAAAGTTCAATTGTTTGTCATGAGAGGAATTTACCTGCCCAAAGATAGCAAGATGTCCACCGCTTCCTCTTTCCAAATTTTAGAAAATGGAGGGACATCTGAAAAGCATAGAAAATGTCAAGCAAATTCAGCCAGAAGGAGATGGTTAATAAAAGCAGCTAGAGCATCATCCATTACCAAAATTGCCACCAGAAGGTTGAAGCTGGCAAAAACTTGAATTGCCATAAGCCAGAAGCTACTTCCTCTAGGCCTCGGGATTTTGTGGATTAGATATGGCGACAACGATTTTCCAAGTAGTCTACAACCAAACATGTGAAAACTTAACAAACCAACCACCACTTGATAATATAACTAGAAACCACTTCGTAAAAAGGTAAACCCTTTTCCAAACGATAACAATCTGCAAGGAAACAACAGTCCCTGCAAATTGTCTTAATAAACGCACTCACAAACTGTAACTCTTCAATAGGAACTATAGGTGCAGGTTCTATGATAAAAGTAAATAATTGAAGCAGGCAATTACAAGATTAATGAGGCGACAGCGACGGAGATGGCTATGTAGTCACTGGGACATCCTCCTTTAGCAGCACAAGTCGCCATTGTTTTACTGCTATCTATTGAGAATCTGCTGGTCTTTTTTTTGAGTTAGCTGCTGTTCTTAAAATGTCCATCAACTGTTTGTTCAAACGTGTATCAGAGAAAACTCAGAAAAGTCCATCTCACCTCACCTATGAGCAAATTTTCTTTGACTTTTCGTTTTATTTGGTCAAATAAAATTTTTAAAAAAGTGAAGACGTAATTATCTACCAAGCATCAACCATCATTTTAAGGGAATTGGAATAATTTCCTTTTATTTTTGGAAAGGATAATTGGTCTACAATCTCTACTTGTAGGGAGGGAGCAAATTTGAAGTGCTGAAATCTACTGTACAATGGAAAATACGACCTTTCTCACTTTGCAATGAAATCTATTATTATTATTATTATTATTATTATTATTATTATTATTATATAAAAGCAAAACATTTACTAATTAAAGTTTAATGATAAATAAATTTTTACATCGTCAAAAATCATCTCCCCTAAAAATCTAAGTGGATTTGTATTTTTAGATTTTTCTTTGTGATTTGAAGTTTTGTTTGGAAGATTACTACTTGTGGGGTTGTTGTGCCCACAGTATTGGTTAAGTTTGCAGAATCTTTTTATATCAAGTGCACTTACATGAGTTTAGGAGCCATTTCCAACTATAAATATATGATCTAGAAATTAAAATTTCATCCATTCACTTACAGAAGCTTTTTTATACTGCTTGATTACTTGATTCTCTTTTCGTAGAATTTAAGTTGGTTTTATATAAAGGTCCAAATCCTAATGTTTACTGCCTCATTTTGGTACACAATGGAGTAGATTTGTGGCCAGTTTTTTTTTTTTATTTCTACAAGGAGATCTCTGCATAATAAGAAAATGAAGAAATTAGGTATTCTATTGGCCTATAAAATGATTACGAATGTTTTTACTTGGACCGTAATTTGCTGGTCTGGTTTGGTCTGATTTGAACAGGTCTGGTATGGTCTAGTTTCTTTGTATTTTTATAACTATCCAAGTCTGATCTGGTCTGATCTGGTTTGAGAGAAATTACACTGTTACAATCCAAGTAAAAACATCTTACGTACTTGTAAAACATGTACGTAGTATAAATGAAAACAAAATACAATCTGTGCGAACATGTATACAAGTAGCAACTAGCGATGCTCAAACAAGAATAATGGGGAATACCAATATGAATGCAATTTATATGTATATATCTATGCCTTGCTTCCCTATTGATTTAGGCCTTGTTTGGTAAATGGTTGTTAGCTGTTGCTGATAGCTGGTTGTGTCAGCTGTTTCGCAACAGCTGGTTGTGTTAGCTGTTTTGACCGACTGGTTATGTTGGCTGATTATAAATAACTGTTTGGTAAAATTGGCTCTTTCGAAATGGCTGATAGAGTGTAAATTGAACCAGCCAAATGAAGAAGCTGCTCCCCTTAGCTTCTTCCACAATCCATTTTTTCAGCTTTTCAAACTCAACAAGCTAATTTTAAAAGCCATTTACCAAACATCATTATTAGCTTCTTTGACTAATCAAACGGTTGAAATGGGTCAAACAAGCTAAAAGCTGGCTGATAAGCCATTTGCCAAACATACCCTTGATCTTACGGCCTTACATCTCATAACCATACTGGAGTATTTTTCAGTTCGATTCTGTTGGTTTGGATTTTGTATTGTTTAATAACATACTATATTCGTCCCTTAAAATTTTGTCAAAGTTGACCGACACAGAGGATAATAAAGTAAAAACTGTGTCGTTGAGGTTTGTGCAGAGGAGAGAGAAATAACAGAAACCACAAAATAATTGATTAAAAGAAAAAATGACAAATTTTTTTGGGACGTCCCAAAAAGGAAAGATGGCAAAATTTTAAGGGACGGATGGAGTATGAATGTTTTATTGAATTTCTTTAGTTCAGTTTAGTTTTATTTCGTTTTTCTCCATTTTAAAAGAAATATTATCAAACTCAAACTAAATTGCATATGATCTGATTTCAATTCGGTTTGGTGTCGTTAAACCAAACTGATAAGCTGAGATATTTTCGATCACCTCAAATTTTTTATCTATTGTGACTTCCACAGGTATAATTTTAAGAGAAAATATGTATATTTCCAGAGTTATATCACAGGTAAAATTGGCTAGAACAAAAAAACCGCAACTAAGCATTATTTGGGATACAATGTACTATGTATTACTCCCTCCGTTCCATTGGATTTAGTCAACTTTCCTTTTTTTGTCCCAAAAAACTTTGACAATTGTCTATTAAAGCAACTAATTTGTGGTGTTGCACATTTCTCTCTCATCTGCACAAATATCAATCACACAGTTTTTACTATTCTTATTTCTCACCTACTTTGCACTTGGCAAAGTCCACCGAGACAGAGGTAGTACTACTATAGTACTATATTAGAACATCTATTAATATATAAAAGCAAAAGATTTTCGGACCTCCGCCACCTACTCCAGTTCCATTTCACAATAATTAAATATTTGCTGGCCAAAACTAGATCTTCTTGAAGCGGGTGTAACTTTTAAGGCAAATACCAATAAATAAATTGTGTTTCCAAATGTGTAAATAAATACGACCTAATGGCTACACAATATAGTTACTCTCCCAAATCCCAATTGTTTTGAAGATTTTTGAATTCCCAAAGCAAGGCCCAAGGCCCCAAAGCTGTCTAATGGATCAATTGGAAAGCTTTATATTAAAATTATGGCCTCCCCATCAGGTGGTATCATTTATAGGGGAACAGATACAACATAATACTTGCTAATTCTTTTAGCACATTTCCAATCTATTTTGAATGACTTGTCGTGGAGCGCCAAATGATACCTCCCACCAAGTTATTCAAAGAATGAGCAGCCATTGCAACAATAATATTTGATGTCAACATTGTCGCATAGCCGTAGACGAGCCCCACAAACGTTGCCCTGAAAAATCTCATAAATTCAGTTTATCACAATCCAATGGCTTTTGAACAGAAGCTCATTTGTTCAAAAGGTTGCCAATGTGTGAAAGATGAGCCCATGTCATAACAGTTATTTATTTTTCGGACCCATATTTATAATGTGGAACGTCGAAGATTGATTGATTATAATGAGTTTAGCACAATTTGATGAAAATACCCCGAAATATCAAAATTTAATTTCTGCATATAAGGTTTTGCGATATCGATATGAAGGAAACATAGCTTCTCTAGAATCTCAATGTTTCTAGGAGAATGTCAGAACGCTTTGAGAAACTTTTAGTAAAACATAGCAGAACATTTTGAGAAAATATTGTGAAGTCAAAAAACATCCAAAAAAACATGAGAAGTGTCATTATGTTTTCTCAGAAAAGTAACAAAGGGCAACCCCTCCATTTTGTTCTGTTATTGATATGGATATTGAAATGCCCACCGATCATCATCATCATTTTCATCATTTTCATTTACCCAGTGCCGCAAAGGCTCCCACCTAGGGTGGGGTAAGGGGGGGTCGGATGTACGCAGTCTTACCTCTGTGCTAAAGCACAGAGAGACTGTTTCCGGATGACCCCTAGTGAAAATCGCGTCCAAAATTGCATGAACTTACTGCTGCTCCATAACAAATAAGCGCAGACAGTTTAGTGAGCCATTTTGCTTTATTCCATCATAATCTCAAGCCAAAAAATAATGAATCTTTGGCTCCATTGCAAATGATGGAAATGCCCACCGATATTTCAACAAATTGAAAGTGCCAGTATTACCATAGGTACTGATACTTTTTATCACTGGTTAAGCACGGGCTTTGAAGTTTAAAGGCTAAAACTAATAAAAGGTTCCAAGATTGAACAAAATACCAGATCGCAAATGAATGTTTTCGGCCACTGCCTAAGTGTAATATTCCAAAGACAGCAGCAACAGCCAGAACACTTGGCCAATTGACACCAAAAAGAGGCAATAGTGCACCACGGAAAAGAAACTCCTGTTGAATTTACTAATAAACATCCATCAAAGCTTGCTGGTGTTCGTTTTGAAATCTTAAAAAACATAACTGTGAAGAAATGTAAAAGAACTGACTAATTGTCTGTGGATACCTCGCTAACTCCAGGGAGAAATGACATGACAATGTAATCAAATGGTTCAAGAGAAGTAAGAACCTGAAGCATGCAGCATTTGCAAATTTCAGAGGAAATGATAGTTCATTGAAAGCATGAAAGTAAACCCTCATTGTATACTAGCTGCTAGCTATATGCTAATGATACACATGAAATGTAGAATTTCTTCCTTCACTGGGAACATCAGCTAAGGGTTCTGTAGTTTGCATTCAATTAGTCTCTGTTTGAAACTCGAGAAATACTAGGGGAGAACTAAGGGAGAAATTTGGATGAAAGAAAAAAATGGGAAAAAGGGGGTTCAAACGCAACGAATCAATTTTAGATATTTGTTCAAACTCATTTTTTAATGCTTCTATTATACTAAGTATATAGACTAAAGAATCTTAATATATACATAGTATAAAATAAAAATTAAAAAAGCTAATCAATTTTAGTCTTCCCGGTATTTTCCAAGGGAAAACTAAAACAATCTCCCTGGCATTTTTATGAGAAACTCCATAGCATTTTTTATTTTACCTATCTTTCAAACATAGCCTAGACTTAGAAAGCACTGCAAACTATACACCAGTGTCAAATTTTGTAGATGAAAGAAGAAGAAAAATCATCCTGGCATTCAAAAATACAGATACACTTAGGTACAAAAGATCACATACTTAAACAAAAAAGATGACAAACAACAACTATCCTAAATACCTGTCTATTTGCTGCTTCACTAGATTCAGCAAAATCTGGACAAGTCTTCAACAGTAAATATCGACCTGATGATACCAATACAACCAGCCCCATAATCAACTCAAGATGCCACACCTGAAAATCCCCTGCATTGGAGCCAACTGTCAGTGAAATGTAAATACAAACTTTTGGTCCTTCTTCAAAACTGCTTGTACTTGAAATCATTTTTTGAATTGAACTAAAATTAGAAATGCTATTACTTAGCATGTCTTAGGATTGCTCTTAAAAGCCACTTCAAAAAAATTATTTTTAAAAACATCTATACCTGACTGGTTTTTGAAATCCAACTTCACTCTTTTTTCCCTATAAACACTTTTGATTAAAAAGGTCAAACACATAAATAAATTAAGGCTTGTATAAATAACTTTGCTTCCTACGAGGCTACGAAGTATATAACAATAGTCACATTACCAAAAAACTTATTCAAAGGATTAGAGGACTCAATCTTACATGAAAATTCAGCAGAGCAGTCAGCAATAGGCCATACTTCTTGTGATGCAACATGAGAGACCTGCAAATTAGCTAAGATAGAAACGGTAAGAACCAACTGAAGTTTCCAATCTATATTGACTTCATAACTTTATTTTTTTAGAACTAAAAAATTAAAGGCCACCAAAATTATGAAATCTCATCAACAGAGCATAAATTACAACAGCATTTTCTCATGTGATATGCAACAGAGTCTATACATAATCACATAAATAAGATGATAAAAAAGAAGCACACATTCAGATATTTATCACAAGCTATCAAACTGTTGATGAAGTGAGAGTAAATTGAACCTGATGAATCAAAAGGCCCAAAAGGCCCATTAAACCAGATGTAACAGTGCATGCCTGGAGCACAGAAACCCTAGATGGAAATTTTTTAGAACTCCCTGCCTCCCCTATAGCACAAGAGATTGTGTTATTTTCCTTATCCAGCAGAAAACCATTGGGTAATTTAGTGTTGTCTTTTCCTTTTACGCCTTTTACTCTCGTCTTCTTGACTCGACTTGTCAAATCTCTTCTGGTATCAGCTCTACTATTCTTCTGGTTTCAAAGGCATAGCGGAAACATACAAATCAATAGAAATTACAATCGAATTTGAATCCTTTCTGCAAAATACATCTTAAAGAAACTATGAACAGAGAACTCACACTACGCAATAGACTGGGTATGAGTCTTGGTAAATGATCTGCTGGAATTTCAGATATTTTCCACTATTAAAGCTCAAAACAGCTTATAAACCATAAAAGTTTGAATCTTCAAGGCTAATGGAAATGAAAAGCATAAAGCTCAAAATGAACTTACATGAAGTGCAAGAATCACTGAGGTGTGGGAAAGCTGAAGGGATCAACCTCCAGCAAGAATGCATAGTCAATAAATTCATTCATAGGCAAAGCAGTGAGCAGATATCTTATGCTTCACTTTAAAGTTTCTTTGTCTACTAATTCCAAAGAAAGTGAATAAAAAGGAAATTATATGGTCTGTTTAGGCCGGCGAAGTGGTGCGGATCGACCAACCCGACCTGAACCGAAAAATGAAGTTAGGTTTGGTTTTGGTTATCCAAACAAAAAACGTTTGATATTTATATTGGGAAACAAAATGGATCGGCTCTGTGATATGGCAATTCTTTGTCATGTTCTGATCTCCATTTCTATGACAATATGAGATAGTCTAGACGCTTTAAAGTCTTAAACGAGATAACCGAGTATTATGCAAAAGAATTCACATTTCCTGATGTATAAATGTAGATCACAATATCCATATATCCAAAGGTTTCATTTCTAAGATAATAAGTTGTTTGCATTCAACACTTAAGAGCTATGCCATATACTTTAAATTTAGAAAAAAACGTACTAATGTGAGAAAGAATTCCAACACTTTATATTTTAGTATCGTAAAATGGAAGAAAATAAGCAGAAGATCAAAGAGAGAAAGTAATAGCACACATAATATGTATGCATGGGGCATGCATACGTGAGAATCCACCTGGCCGCATGTTCCGTATGCAGTTGCATACATTTATCTTATTAGATAATATTGTATTACTCCTTATCATTTGTATATCTATCCGTACGTTACCAACCACCTAGATCCATAGTTCACTTATACACGTATGTATCTAGATGAATAGATAAGCATTGTATATTGTATAAATATTGAAGTAATAGAGAGGAAGCCGGACGGCGAATTACAATTTCCAACTTGGTATCAGAGCCCCACTTTATTTCGTCTTCTTCCTCTCGTGTGCCGCCATGGCCGCACAACCCAAAACAGTTTTTCACCCAGCTTTGGCCATTACATCCATCAAAAACCTCATTCCCCTTATCCTTGACACAGAAAAAATTCAATACTCTTCATGGGCAGAGCTGTTTAAAATTACAGCCCATGCATATGATGTTCTTGACCACATCTCTCCGACGGCGACGTGTCCCACCGTGCCGCCCACATCGTCCACTCTCTCTGACGATGAACGCCAACGTCTTGCCGAGGAGAGTGCTTTATGGCTCCGCATCGATGCCGTTGTCCTACAATGGATCTACGGCACCATATCCCACGACCTCTTGCTTGCCATTCTCGAACCGGATTCTACTGCCCGGGCTGCATGGACTCGTCTGGAAGCCATATTTCATGACAACAAGAACTCTCGTGCAGTACATTTGGAGGATCTCTTTTCTAACACACGCTTGGAGAATTACACCTCCATCTCAGCGTATTGCCAGGCACTACGCACGCTCTCCACACAGCTTGCCAACGTTGACGCTGCCGTCGACGAAAGACGTTTGGTCCTCCGTGTGGTCAACGGTTTGACCACATCCTATGCCACCGTAGCTTCATTCATTCAACAACTTGACCCCCTGCCCACGTTCGAACGTGCTCGGTCAATGCTACTGTAACACCCCTAAATTTCCCTCCCAAAACATTGATATATTTAAAAGAAATACTTTATTCATTCATCAAAGAGTTTGAAGAAATACAGCGGAAGTCTAAAAGGGAAATGAGTGTTACCACCACATTCGGTCATCTCTTAACCGAATGCACAGGCAACTCAAAGTAAAACAATAAAAACTAATGTACGTCCAATAGGCATCCAACTCAAGCTCGAGCAATCCATCAATCCACATAGGCATCCAACTCATCACCTGATAAAATTTAAGGGAGAAGGGAGAGAGACAAGAGAAATAACAAAAATTAACTTTAGAGCTAAGTAAGTACTACCCAACCCCGTAAAATAATCAGGTTTGACTAAAAGTAGATTTTTATATAATATCATATAAAAATGACGCACTCCACCAAAATACTTTTCTCTTTGATTTTTCTTAAAATTACTTCTTTACTAAAACCCTCAACTTCTCTTCGAAAATCTCTTAGTATCTCTTCTCTTTAAACTTCTTAAGAAAATCACTTCTTCTCTAACTTCCTAGTAATTTAGAAGGGCGGTGCTCAACCTTTCGACTGAGCCCGGTGGACCGTGGTTACGGACGGTCACCCCGAACAAGTGCCGGTACCACAACTGCTCTTGCGGAAACGAAACGACTACCTTAAGTGTGCACACCCCCTAAAAGGGATTCCAAGCCCTCCGAGTAGTGAGTCATCCCGAGTGGTCGGAACCCAACCACCCCAATTCTAAAATGCTTGAATGATTAGGGACTACTACTATAACTTCTTCTTAAAAGGGATCATAGATCCAAATCTTACTTAAAAAGGGATCATAGATCCAAATCTTACTTAAAAGGGATCATAGATCCAAATCTTACTTGAAACTTAAACTGTACTTCTCAGTAGTAGTAGCTCTAATCACCCTCCACATTTATCCGGATGTGGAAAAACCGACACCTCAGATTACTCCCGAGATGCTCACTTCTTATGAAAATGTAAATTTTATCTTCGCTTAATAATACTTCAAAAATACTTCTTAATTTCTCTAAAAAGTCTCGAAGGTATTTAAAAATATTTAATACCCCAAAAGTACTTGATTTATACTTCTTAACTACCATAGATATAATATCTCCTCAAAATCACATACACAAAATTCACAATTCACACTTAATCACATAATGCATATAATAAGCATATAATACGAGGAAACAATTTTGGATTGGCAGAGAAACTTACCTTAAGTCCTGATGCTCCTAGTTATCCTCTTCTAATCCGGTCTCTAGATAATCACCTTTTTAATTAAATATGATAAATTAGTCACTTATTCTATTTGTAATTACTTTACCCGATTTTCTCCTTTTATTTTATTATTCGCATTAACTTTGGTTAATCACTTTTTATTAATCAAATTACCTTATTAATTCAGCCATTAATCACAATATTTGAATTCTAATATTAAATAAAATATTCGAATATTATTAACTACAACATCTAATTTTTATTCAATAATCACTATTAATATTAATATTTCCTTATTTAATTACTTAACTAGTTTTATATGGCCTAATTTAAATAAATAGACTAAGAATCGACTTTATAAATTAAAAACCGTCTATAACTATATTTTGAGTCTATATTTGACCTATGTTGTCCAGATATCTATTTTATAATTATCTTCCATAATTATTCCTTTAATTTCATATATCTATTAACCGGTTCAATTACAATTAAATATACTAAATCTTAATATTTATTAATTATAAATGGTCCATAAGGTCCTAGTTAGTCATATATTTATCCTAGTTTACTCCAATATTTATTTCATAATTATTTTCGTTATTTAGTTAATTATTTACTAAATGTGTATAAATTGGCCCAATTACCATTAAATCAATTAAAAATAGCTAAAAATATTATTTTCCAATTCTGGTTGGTCCGAATATGTATATTTATACTAGGTATTTAATTTATATTTTTCCAGATATTATTTATTTCATTTACTATTTTATTTTTAATTTTTATTGCAACTGGGCCAAACTGGCCCAAATTTAATTTTCTGGCCCAACCTGAAAAGGCCCAAAAGACAGACCCCAGCAATTGCTGGGTCGTCTTCTTCCCCAGGTCGCCGGAAAAACGGGAAAACAAGGGGGGAGGTGTTACCTCGCCGGACGAGCGAAACGGCCGGCTATTGGCTCCGTTTGGGACGGCGAATGTCGGTGGTGGGTTGGCGGCAGCGGCAGCTCCTCCCTCTTCTCCGTTTTCCGTCGAAAAGTTTTTCCCCGGCGAAACTCCGACGAGCTATTTCTCCCTACTCCGACGTCCGTTTTCCACGATTCTTTCTCCTTTGGATTCGTCTCACGAAGGGGAAGGTTTGAGGGGTGTTTTCAGGGCTTGTTTCTGGCTAAAACGGTGGGTCGAAAAAAAATATATATATACGTATATATGTATATTTCGCATATTTTGGGATGAAGAAAACGCAGGTTCTGGCCTATTATTTATATGTGTAGGTCGAGGGTTTTAGACTGAGATGTTAGATTTTGAGTTTAATATAATTAGCTTCTTCCGGCCCCACCGTTGGTAGTTTACCTCGCTTAGGAGTATAGTTAATATATATACCTAGTTTACGTAGTTACGTAGTTAGAAGTATAATAGGAGTATAGTATATATCCTATATACTATTATTACATATTTACGTAGGTAGAAGTATAATAGGAGTATAGTATATATCCTATATACTATTATTACGTATTTACGTAGGTAGAGGTATAATAGGAGTATAATTAGGTAGTAATAATACGTACGTAGGTATTTTAGTTTAGGTTTAGAAAATTATACTATGTATTATTGTACAGTCCCTCCGTATTATTTTATACGTTACATCTATTATCGGACCATTTTTTTTATCTGACTAAAACATCATAAATTTGGAAATTTTATCTGATTAGAATGTTACACTTGTTGAATTTTTGTCTGACTCAATTAATAATTAAAATGTTATTTTCGTAATATTTTATCTGATTAAAAATTATTTTTATTTTTATTTAAATTTTTGAAGTGTCACAGCTACTCCTGGAAGAAACCCGCCAGGCTCATCAACTAGCAGCTTCCTCGACTACACCACATGCTTCCGCACTCATCACCACCACTCCCTCCCGCACTGATTCGGCTTCTTCCTTTTCTGGACAACGTGGACGAGGTGGCCGTTCTGGTTCAACTCGCGGCAAGGGCCGCGGCAGATCCTCCGGCACACGACAACAGGACACTTCCGTCTGGCCTTCGGCTCCCCCGCCATGGTCGTTTCCACCATGGGCTGCATGGATGCAGTCTCAATGGGCCCCTCCTCCATGCCCATATCCTACAGTTGGTGCTAACCCCAGTCCATCCCGGTCGGCCTCTGCCGGGATCCTAGGCCCACGACCTCAAGCCCTCACAGTTGCCTATCACACTTCACCGGCACCGTCCTATGTTCCTACGGACCTTCCGGCGGCCATGCACACAATGACTCTCAACCCTCCAGATGATAGTTGGTATATGGATACCGGGGCCACCTCCCATATGACCTCGGATAAAGGTACTCTCTCGTCCTTTATTAATACGGGTACTAAAGGATCTATCATAGTCGGTAATGGTTCCTCCATTCCAATTTCGGGTCAAGGTCAC